GACTAAATAGAATTTGTCGATGGCCCCCATGAGATTAATACATGAGTAAAATTAATCTCAGTCTGAGAGTTTAATCACCGAGCACAAGAGGTCCCAATCACCATGCTTATAGTCTCTATATTGGCAGGTTTTTTGAATGGGTCGGTTATAAGAGGGATATTTAGAGAGAACACAATCCTTTAAGATAAATTGATGGAACTTTCAGAAATTCATTACAATGCATATAAGTGTAATAATAGGTTTTCTGGAATTGTCAGAAGCCGTGACAGGTAGAGTTCAATCATGTAGTGAATGAGACAGTTACCCATCAATATCATCGGAAAATGGTCGTGCGGTATTGCTATATCGAAGTGATCAAACTCATAAATATGAACTATTTAATTCGAACTCAGTGGTTTGAAAGTTGAATGCTTATCGTGAGACCAGAATATTCTCAGTTCGACCCCTGGTGAGGTGATAGACATGCACTTCCGAGTAGTCTCGTGTCAGGACGAAACAACTAACTAATGTTACTATGTGTGAAAAACGGCCAAATTAAGTTCACTCTGATCATACGAGTATATCTTACTTATCTAATCAGATAACGTTCTGGAATATAGAAGCAAAATAGTTGAATAGTCCATGTATGAGAACAGTAAAGAATACAGTATGACTATGATCATAGTTGTATAATGATAGGTATGAACTATTAGACACAGTGTCCGACTTGCGTTTATTCATGAGAACCAAAGTAATTGCACATAATGTACCTTGAATAAGAGAGTAGTAGATTACAGGAAAAATGTTAACTGAATCATATTTCATAGACATCATCTCTTATAAATTATGCAGGTTAAAATATATACTACTTTAGTTAATAACACTGACTGAAGGTTATCACTGATACAACATTACATGATTGACCACATCAATTTATTTTCATTTCGTGGTGAGACCATAATTCATGGATGACCTTTGAGAGATGATAAAGTGACCTTGAGAAAATCCACCTACTTACTAGGGTTAAATGAGGGTTATAAACCTCCGCGAAGAATAATGGTTATGATTTACAGTTGATATTCAGGGTTAGGAATTAGATTTAGGGTTTTCATCACGAAATGACATCAGCTAAAATGCCAAAACGCTATTCAGCCGAATGGATGAATGAAGTTCACACTAAAATCTAAGACCTGTTATCCTAAATTTAGTTGGTTCGTCCATAAATTATGGTCTCGCCCATTTAGTTCTAATTTACTACAATATTAATCTCTGTCTGTAAATTTACCGACACCAGTTCTAAATCATTTTTTTTTAAAGTATGAATTTGAACATTCCATTTATTTAAAGAACTGAGAACTGAAAATCAATCTTCAACTGTACACTGAACTATACACATACTTTAAACATAAAATTATATACTTAAAGTTGTAATGTGATTCATTTCATTGGAATATCAGGATAACTAATTTGATGGCTACTTTAGTGTTTGACATGATGATCTCGTGCAATATTGTAAAAATTAATTTAAAAAAGCTGGAAACGTGGACCAATCATCTAAAGATATCACACTGGACATAATATATGATGGCTTTAAATTTAGTCACATTTAGATTTGTAGAATATCGCAAAGTGGCATAACAGCCACTTGATATTTGATCATTTTTAATAGTCCCATAATTAGTGTCAAGGTAAGCTGAGAAGTTACTTTAAAATTGAGTATAATCTCAAAGCATATAATTTAACAAAAGAAATTATCATAATCTTAAGTCTATGACCTCATTAGTTTTTTACAGTAAGGTAAAATATGACAAACCTCCTAAAGAGAAAGTTGTATACTTTCTCAAAACCATTGAAAATCAAACAGAAGTATCGACTGAGTTTAGCTGTCACACTTTCTTTATTCCAGCAATATGGTACATTTAACACAGTTAGTCACTTATCCATTCACTTTGTAAGTACATTCGAGGGTGGGGAGAGTCCTCTCTCCCTCTCGAAATGTTCTCACATGGCTACGCATATACAGCCACTTCCAGGGAAGTCCTACTCGCTGACTCCTCGCGGAGAGGGTATTGTTTACGAAATTGAGAGGATGAAAAGCGCATGTTTGGCGCTTTAACCGTGCTGGTGGGTATTAATAATTCATCTAGGGGAGTTGGAAAACCCTCATTTTAAACCAGTGGTGAGCATGGGCTCCATGATCTTGAAGGAACAAATGGAGTATTAACATATTTTTGATCACTGTCTACCATAGGACTGCATCTCCTTACGTTGCTGCACTGACTCGTGCATTAGACCTTCAGATCAATGGCTCCGTGTGTGGCTTCTTAAGAAAACTACCTGCTTTGGTTTGGGCACCCGGGTAGTATCACAGCCCTTACACAAATCAATGATAACTACTACTGGCCTCATTGTTATTGTGTAGCGCAAATGTATTTGGTGCCCCCTTGTGCCAATGTTTATGTGTTCAAATATGTGTTGCTTATTAGAATGTAATGTTCATTAAAGTTTCCATTTGAATCCCTTGTGTTTCTCATCTGGCACGTTAAGCTGCACTATACTGATATGGCCATACCACTTAGTTGCAAATAACTCCATATGAATTTAACGAATATTCTACATCTCACTTTCTATAACCAACAAAATGTTTACCTATTTCAAATTACTAAAATCAAATAGCCTGAATCATCGACATTTAGATAAAAATTTATTTCGACCAAGAATTGAATATTACTAACAAGAATGTAAGCCCATGTACACTTTCTTGTTCATGTGCATGTATTTTATCTGCTTGTATTTATACAACGAAGTAAATAACTGTACTGGGATTATGTTTAAACCATAATTCGTATAGGATAATAAAAAGTACTATTCTTAGTTGGTACACACTGTTCTTACACATAATTTATAGGGTGTATATATATATGGTAACCACGGCAAAAAAGAAAAGTTAATAATTGAACATTACTCTCTTCACTGTTGTTTATAATCAACATTATTATTATTATTATTATTATTATTACTATTGTTATCTATGAATAGCGCATACGTAAATAGATTTATTTATACAGTGTGCATAAATAAACAGAAAACAAAAAGTATATCAGTTTCTTTTATTTTTTGCAAAGGTTAAAGTAATAGTAATATGTTACTTTGTAACAAACATAAACATCATTACGTAATCTTAGTTCAATATTCAATGGTTCGTATATTTTTGTATCTGAGGTTGTTCAACTTGTTTTATCAAAGTAAATCATAGTAATAGTAAATTAATTATTATTTACTTCCGTGATTGAGATCGATGAATGATCTAGATTGCGTTACACAGCGATATATATCTTGATGTAGGATGGCTAAAGGTGATCAGTGGAAAGCTGCGTGACTAAAATAAATACTGGGAGAAACTTGTTAGTAATTTTAATAGAAAATAATCAAGAAATTAACGCTACTCTCAAAATTCAAACTCACATTATTTATGCTCAATTTATTCAAATATGCAGCTTTATCTTATCATATCTCGGAGACAAATTGAATAACTACCTAATGGAAATGTCTTGAAAACAATTATATTACATAACAAGTTATGCAACATAGTTGTGTATAAGAAATTTTCATTAGGTGGTTATTCAGTGTGTCTCTGAGATACGATGGGGTAATTGACTGATAGTTTAAATAGAAACTTAATCTTTTTCATCAATGGACTAATGATTTAAGCATTGTTAGAGGATACTAGAAATGTTATCTCATTTCCTCCCGGTCACCAGTCAAGCAGATAACTATAGGAGATATATTGGTGTGGCTAACTCAAATATACGAAACTAGAAGATCAAATATTCAATGAAAATCTAATGTTGACAACTGAAGAGGTTTCAATGTTTCACTTCGATTTCCTTATTTGAGGTTTGAAACTTATTTGTACCCTTGTGAATAGCCAATAATATTTCTAACAAGCATTATTTTAGCCTTAAGATAACGCACAGAGTAGACTAACTTTAGCTAGACAACTAATGTGAACCGGGAACCATTGTATTACTGTTCTATCCAGGAATGTTACTCTTCAGAATTATGTTTGCACGACTTCTCTAGGTATTGTATTCATGTATTTGACAATGACTAACTTTAAGATAAATACTGGAACTTCAAGTAAGAAGTGATGACAGATAGAGTCTAAACGTATAATAAATTAGATAGATGTCAACGATTAGAATAAATCATAGCTGCATAATATTAGGAGCTAAATAAGGCTGAAATTCGGACAGTTAAATGATGACACGGTGGTCAGAAGGTACCGTACTCACCGTCGGACTGGAGTGTCCTAAAATAAGTCTATAAAAGTTTATCTAGCGTTGTAAAAATATTGATTTAATAGTCAGTGATTTGTAGACTGTCAGAATAACCAGCTAACCCATAACATCTCTAATGAAAAGTTAAGAACATCACTATGAAAGAGCAAACAAAACATTTACACATAACAGTGGGTGTGGTGGCAAAGTAACAAAACAAACAAACACATCTTGTTTCTTCATGTTCCCCACTGCCCTTCCATCAGTGCCACGTAGTGAGTTTAATGAAGATAATTACATACGCATATTTACGTAACAAAATACATCATTCCTTTGCTAACACAAATATTTGACCAAAAATTAGCAATGGTGTTTTGTGTGTGGTTAAAACGAAAAGAAAACCACAAACAAGAATTGTACATAGGCGGTAAAAAGTTTCATGCAATCTATCAGTTTGGTGATTCATCAAGTTAACATTCATGTACAAGTGTTTATATATATATATATATATATATATATATATATATATATATATATATGCATGTATGTATGTATGTATGTGTGTGTTATCCATGTAGTGTGTATGTATCTCTAATACAATTGAGTGTTGATATCCAATCCTCCCTTAATCAGATACCCTTTTCTCTAGACAAAACTTAAGCAGTGAAAATCTAGTGTCTTAGGAAGTCAGTTCTTCAACTTCTTCAATAACTTTCTATGATCATGTATTTCTGATATCGACAAATGTCAGGCTATTGTAATTAAATAATTTGTGATGCAATTCTATACATATTTATGTATATACATATGGGATAGAGATGATGAATAGGGATTTGAAAATGAAAATACATCAACATCTTATTATGATGTAAATAAGTGATAACGGTGAAACGATAGTTCAACTAAACTTTTTGAAAGAATGTTTACCTAAATTAATTTCTTTAAATCGCATCTACTCAAACTATTGTTTTATCTTTGTGGAAACTTATGGAACAGAAGAGATTTGGCTTCAACATCTATCACCAGTTTATCTACATAATCTTGTTTACAAGATGAAACTACTGTCTCTTTTGGTTCAGAAACACTGAACTGTTCGATCAACCTTAATGATCTTCTTTCAGTAAAAATTTAAAATTGTGTGGTGAGTCCAACTTGATGTGTAATATATGGATCCAACAGAGTTCGATGGATTTTTTTTGGACATTTTTAAAATATCATTTTTGTGTCATGAACTGGAAAAAAATAGAGAGAACAGTATGTTTATACATGGCTTGATTCTGCGAAGAAATTATATTCAGAGTTTAGTGTTAAGTTACATCAAGATCATGAACCAGTAGATTCCATGAAACACAATTTTGTTATATTCTGGACTTGTTATCTAGATGGATCTTTTAGCTTAATCTATTGGTTTTGAAATTCAAAGCTACCACTCATTTATCTTTAAACATACAAATATAACTTAACAGACAACTAATCTATGGTAATGATCTATTCTTAAATATTCATTGTGTATAAATAACTGTCGCGTTCGAATAGAATTTCATATATGAAACTTCAATATGTCATCTTTTGACAGAAACAAATGTGGAATGTAAAAATGTGAAGATATCTAATGTTAAACTCTATATCTAAGCTGCTTGTATATCTATGAATTGTTTTACAAAATGAATTTGCGAAACTATCATACATTTTTTAAATTCACTTGGTATTTTTACTTGAATCTTCCCATTGATATTTAGGACTGCTTGTGAATTAAGACAATATGGGGGCAATATGCACAACATGCACATATGCCCATAACAGGATGATCATTTGCAATGCTAAACATCAGTGGAAAGATTTGAGCAAACAATATCAAGTGGATTTAAACTACGCACCATTGCATAAGCAAGTGGCTATCAGGACTCTGATGCTGAGTGGATAACGCGATGGCGTTTGAAGCGAACGGTTTTGTGTTTGAGTTTCACAGTGAACATCAACTCTGAGATGTAGGTACATTCAGCTGACGAGTCCCAAATAAGTCGAAACGCGAGTCCTGGATTCCACTGCAAGCCACTATCTGTTTTCACTTATGATTACAATTTTTGATGATGAATTAAACTTTTATTTTGAGTCAAGCTGTGAAGTATAGTCTGAAACACTTGTTACGCTGTAATGAACGAAATTCAGGTAGGGACAACAAATTTTTTATTATTTCATGCGAAATTGCAGAATATCTTCATAATATATGACAACCATAAACTGAATACTTCATGTGCAAATTCCCATCGTTTTTCCTTTACATTCTGTACAATTCTTTCAGTTAACAATTTCTTTCTATTCTCTTCAACTCGATCTTCTTAGCCTTCTGTTGACAGGTTTTCCACTTCCAATTGGTGTTACACACTACTTATGTTTGTCGACATGAGTAACACACACTACGACACTATTACTATTTCATTGTGATTATAATGAATGCAAAGGTTAAACCCCCGTGTTTATTAAATGTAAGAATTGGAAATTACAATCAGATGAACAATGAATATACAGAAATGTTAACAAACCGTCAAACACCTTATAATATTTATGTGAACATTCCTCTACACAAAAATTTCCTAGTCTTATCTCTCTAATGCTTACATCAGTTGATTTTCTTTCTAATAAGTACTCGATTACAATAATAAATGAGTCTAACTAACCAACAACTTACACTGAATACATCAGTCGTATCATAGTTTGATGACCGGTTGTTCAAAGTTACCTCACAATATTGTGTATGAATAACCTGTACAGTACTACTCAGTGTTTTAAAACAACGTATATAAACGAACAACAGTGCTTTCATTTAGATCCTCATCAGACTTTATTCAGGTACACAGTAATATTTATATGCATATACGAAATTGTTGAACTAATCAAGGTAGTTTATGAATCAGTGGTACCGGTGGAACAGATAAACACAAATAAACATAATAAGTAAAAAGCACAAATTGGAAGTGTGATGACAATGTACTAGTTGTGATAAGAATAATAAAGGCTTGAATCAATGTTACATAGTGGGAAATAAGTAAATAACTGACACTGAAATAACACTCACTTTTGAATTATACGATTGCGTTATAAGAAGTGCTCAGCTAATTGGACAGTGAAGTGTATATTTAAAAAAAGGAGGGAGGGTAAACGAAAATAAACGAACAAAGAGTACGGAATGATAATAGTAAATGAAATCTTTTATCAAGGCTAATTCAACCAAGGAAGAGATAAAAGTATTGCAGATTTCCTATAAATACAAAGACTTGGGCTGTTAGCTTGAATCCATATGGCTTCTGTTATGTAAGAGAGGAGGTCGAATCTCACAATGAAAACTAGTAGGAATATGATACATCACTTTGAATGATCTACTTTTAATCACCACATGATCGTTAACGATCAAGTGTGATGGGAATAGCTTACCATATCGGGAGGGGTTTTTCACTAACTCTTTGGCTCAGTTTTCTGGTTGTACCACCAATATAACTTTCTACATAGGAGCAGCTGAACACGTAGATAAACATGGATGTATGAAAACTAGATAACTTATACTTTAATCGAGGAATCTTCACAGATCAGCTAGAAAACTATAGGCAGAGGTTGGCTTCAATAAGTATCCTCTTCACTGAATGAATCAGTCTATCTTCTAGTACATCACTAGCTAAATCTTTGTTGAATTATAGCTTCAGGAATAGAGGTTTCTTACTAATCGTCAATGTGACTATTTTCTAGTTATTCATCTTCAGGTTTTTCCTCGGAAGACATTGTGTATAACCCATATCAATTAACATATTATAAACGAACTCTAGTTCTTTGCTTATGTCGTCTAAGCATATCTCCATAGCTTTAACTGCAAGGCATCTAACCAGGTTTTGCCTGTAATAAATGGGTCCTAAGCTAGAGAAATGTGTGGGAAAAAGTTTTTATGCACAGTTCTACTGATAGAACCGTTTTTTTCTTGTTTTGCAAAAACGTCGAGGAAATGTAATTTGTTATCAAGTTCGTCCTCATATATAAATCTGATTTCTGAGCATGTATTGTTAAACTGCTCTTAAAACATTTCTTTTCCAACGTTCTGATGGACGATAATGAAATTATCACCAATGTAACAACGATAAAGGTTAAGCATATCAATAACCTCCTACTAAACAATATCTCAAAGTTCGTAATTTTGTTAGTAATCACGAATGAGAAGTTCCAAACTAGGTTGAGGCATCTCTCAAGTGTTCTCAAGTCGTCAGTATGATATTTCTGTTGATATCGCACTAATGAAACATAATTCCATATTGAATAATTTCTACAAAAACTCTATCTTGATCAGATTTTATATCCGTATTCAAGCAAAAAATATTCTGGATTGATTTAAACTCATGAAATTTTGATAATTTCACTGTCCTTCCAATTGATTTATTCCACTGGATAAAATTAAAGACAAGACATAAAACCTTGGTATCTTACTGATTACATATATGTTTTCTGCCAACATCAAATTCAATTACTGATAAAGTTTTAAAACCGAATTGACAGATTTTCACCATCATTGAACATTCAAATATCACTCTAATCATCATTCAATGGTCAATAATTCGTAAACATTCCATTGTTTTTGTTACATTTATATAGAATGTACATATATATGTACAATGCAAGCACTCTAAATGTCTTGCAGTTACATTTAACCTTAGAAAATTCATAGATGACTGCTAAATTATATATTACTTTGTTCTTTTTATATTACAGAATTATTTGCTGTAAATATCAATGGAGCCAACACATATTCCAGTTCAAATGTACCAGGTGGTCTATCGGAATATTCTATTGATGATGATTTTATGCATATGCAACCAACATGTTTTCAAACTGATCCTGCACAACCTGATTTAAATGGTTATCATTGGTTAATAATTGATTTTGGTATTCATTTACAACATATAAAGGAAATACGACTAGCACCAAATCCATTTCACAAATATTTCGGTAAATTAAACCATCAATATTTCTAAAGAATAATTAATTTGTATAAAAAATGATGTGTTTGACGAATTTCATAGTTTGTTTTTTCGGGTACATAAGTCGACCTTCTGTTGGATTTGATCACTGCATAATCAAGGTTAAAGTTGCTTTCTTTGTAATACAAAACCTTCATCTGATCTGATTAGGGATTTTCTGTTTGATTGTTAACCAGGTTGGTGCTACAGATCACCACATTCTTTGATGAGTACCTCCAAAATGCAAAAAAACATCCTCAGAAAAACATTTGGGTAAATAAACAAATTTCCGAAAATGTTTTCGTCATTGGTCGACATAACTTGAACAACAATTGAAACCCGGCAGCATTAAAGATGATCTTCAATCCTAGTTTACGATTCCTCGATAATTTCAACTCAAAAACTTCAGGTCTTGCTCCGAGCATGATATGTTGATAATAATAAATCTGGAACTAATTATCCACATTTCCAACCTTAGTCAATCCTCGACACAGCCAAACACTTTTCCAACTTTCTGTTTCTTAATTTGAGTGAAATTGAAGTTAAAATTCTAAAGATCCTCCTTAAATCCAATCACAATTTGGTTTATATAAACCGTCCTTTTTACGGTTTACATACACCTGTAAGCTTTCTTGCAGCATACGCCGCTGACCGACAATGTAAAACATACTCTGTTCTAAGATTTCCTAATCAATTGTTACCAAGTACTATTTACTCTTTTCTTGTTTTCATCCATTTCCCAACACGATGTATTCTTTGGTAGGTCCCTTTTCATCTTACTTTCAGGATTCCAAGTTAGGGCTTGTCACGCCATGCAAATTGGTGTTCTACGCAATGTGCATCCTATTTGCAATTAGGGTCGCTTACTTATTTCCTCCTCAGATGAAAGCTGGTTTGTTCTCTCATGAAGTACTGTATTGCTGATGATATCTGGCCAACCGACATGGAGTGCTCGCATAAACAGCTGTTTATAAACACCAGTACCTTTTTGACAATGTTGGTAGTAGTTTTCCAAGTTTCAGGTTCGTACGACAGAATCTTCTCGACGTTAGTATTGAACATTCTGATTGTGGTGTTGATTGACAGATGTTTTCAGTCCGAGATGTTTTTCGCCTAGAAGAATAGTGCGCCCACTTTGTCAGTCTGTGCCTTCACAACTGCATGTGGTCACGCTTGTTTGTCAATGATGCTAGACAGCTATGCGAGAGTTTCCACTTCTTCCAGAGCTTCTCAATCCATCAAGTGTGATTTGGTTGGTATTCGCTGTGTTGTGATTTAGGATCTTGCTTATTCCGTTGTGTATGTGGAGGCCCACTGGTGCATCGGCTGCTGCTACAATGTCTGTCTTCACCTACATTTGTTGTTGTGAATGGGATAGAAAATCCATATCATCTGTGAAGTCCAAATCATCGAGCTGTATCCAAACTGTTTACTGTATCTCATATATATATATATATATATATATATATATATATATATATATATATATATATATATATATATATATATGTCACTCATATGCAAGGCGCTGCAATAGTTTTGTAATAACTGCATTATTTACATGAATCGTTGAATATAAGACTTCGTTAGATTTGATTTCGAATTCAATCATTATCAGTTTGTGTTAATGTGCTAATTACATAAATCAGTCATTCAGTTTCAGAAATATTTCCTGATTAATAGTATGGGATTACACTCACAGCATGTAGTTTTATAACTAACTAACCATAAGTTTATTTAGAACATTAAATTTTCAATGAAGATTTGTTGAAAACAATATTTTCGAAGTTCTATTTGCGCAAGTAAACTTTTCAAAATGGATTTCTATACGATTCCTGTTGAAACAATACGTATAATTGTATGCCACAAATTGAAAAGATGCTTACATGTCCATATGTTTTTTTTTTCCTTAGTAACTCGAATAAAGACGATATATCCTGGTTTTAAATATCTGTAGACCACCCAAATTTAAATTTTACGTCCGATAATTAAAACCCTAAAAAATATACCAAAAAAATATAAACACAAACTACAAAACAATTAACATAACTAAGTTTGACACTGATTTTCAGACGCCTGATGATGATGATGATGATGATGATGATGATGATGATGATGATGATGATGATGATGATGATGATGATGATGATGATGATGATGATGATGATGATGATGATGATGATGATGATGATGTAATAATAATAATATTACTCTAAGAAATTTAGTTTACTAATTTTTCACATCATCTATGAATATGGTAATGCTATTATTAAGCATGAGATCGAAAACCTACCGTTTCTGAACGAATTTGTTTTTTTAAATATGAGGTATAGTACATTTGTTTTAAATGATTTCACGATAGCATGACAGGTATAAAAAATAAACTCTGACAACATTAGGCTGTCTCATTAAATTCTGCATATATTTAATTTGTATTATGATGAAAAATTTGTGAAATCTCGGTAATTGCAGTAGGAACTAATGAGTTCCATGAAAACATGCATCTTTCCATTTGTTTACTAACTTGAAACAGATATGTCGGTAGTTCCTGGGTGTACAGTACACTTAGCAGTTGTAATCAATAAGTAAACATTTAAGGTGTCATGAAGGAAATCGGTTGCTGCAGATTATGTATATCCATTTCTCATTCCTTCCTTTATATAATAAGTTTTGATAATAAATCAATTTTTTTAATTCTGAATTTCATTCGTCTATTGCAAATTATATTCTCTACCCTGAGCACCTTTTCTACCATTGATAACATTGATTTAAATCATTAGGTTTTTCACTTGTCAATTTCTTATCATTGATGAGAATGGAAATCTCAGCAGTCTCTACAATGCCTCAATGATAATAATAATCAAGGGTATGATAGGCGATTAGATAAACTGTAGATGATTACTTGAGCTCTAATGAGAAGCTGTGACAATTTGAGTTCAACCTTGTTGAATGTGGGACCATTATTCACCACTGAAAATGAAAGATTTCTGCACAATGAAACAAATTATCTGAACTTAGATATATAAACTACTGGATTCTAACTCATCGGTTTAACATTAAGCGCTCTCACGGAGAACTGAAAGTTGAGAGTCCGGTCACCAGTGGTTCCGTGGATCCTTACTGTTGAGGAATTCTCTACTAGGATGAAATGATTGTCCAGTGCTTTCTGGTTTTTTAGTGACTGTTTAACTGTCTGCTCGTGATGTGAAATGTAATCATGAAATGTGATCATCTCGATAAACCCTTTGAGGTAATCTTATAATTGTACTGATGTGAAATACTACAACTTGAGTTAATGGACACGTGAACGATTGATGCAACAAAGTCTGGTTAAAAAATTAAAACCAAATTACAAAACTTTTGAAGTCGTTCATTCTTCGAATTCATGAAAATGTGGTGCACATTGTATGTTCCATTATTAATATCTTTATTATATTTCGATATATAGTCGTTATTTACTTTTACACATGAATTGAACCGTTTATATTAAATGCCATATACAACAAACACTTATCTATTTCAATTAAAAACGAGAAAATTGTAGAGGTACACAAATATCACAAGTTAGGATGTGGTATCAATGTTTGCTGACGATATCGACTTGCAATATTATTACTATTTTCTTACCCTTATAAGCAATAGGTTTCACATTACTATCTCCTAGTGACCTTTAAGATTGGTGCATAATCATGACTGCAATTCCTAAATCTTGTGATTATTGAACTGTTACCAAATGGTAAATTCCTCTATCAAGTGAAAATATGTATGAAGAAAGAACCATAACAGTAGCAGAGTAATACACATTCATTCATTTTATAAATTCCTTTTAGCTACCTACAACCTAGAAAAAATGGAAGTGATAATTTGTTAAAAACGATAAGTGTGCATACTTAAAATTCCCTTCAAAGATAAGTTGTCATCCATGGGAATTAGTCAAATAGGCCATAAATATCAAATAGTAACAAGCAATTTATTTTTGTGTTGGTCGTTTGAATTTTTCTATTGATGTTTTAGACTACAATTGATCAGTCTCTTATTGGCACATATTCATCCTGTGCGGATTGTCTCGATAGTACCTTAAGTCGCGATCATTATAAACAGAGATGGATGGTAGCTAATAGTGGGACCCAAGACACGCATTTTGTCCTATTTAGGAATGGTAATCTGGATGTTCCTGAATCCCAAAGATGATGTTTTCTCCAGGACTCAAGCACAGTACAGTTCGCTTCAAACACCTTCATGTTATCGACTTACCTACTAGGTCTGATCTGTTGATATTAATCAATTGCAGTACTAAACATCAGTGGAAAAACTTAAACAAACAAAACCAAGTGGTTTTGAACTACATCCCATTGCATAAGCAAGTGGCTATCAGGACTCAGTTGCTGAGTGGATGACACGATGGCGTTTGAAGCGAACGGTATTGTGTTTGAGTCTAACAATGAACATCAACACTGAGATGTAGGTACATTAAGCTGACGAGTCCCAAATGGGATGAAACGCGCATCACAGATTCAGCTGCTAGCGGCAATCCGTCTTTTATCATAATAACAAGCAATGTTTACATGTCAGTATGGGCTCGTGGCAATTGTTGAATTTCATTAGTTTCCCATAGCAGTCTGAAAAAGATTGGTTTAGAATTTTGCTCTTTATACGGTTGATTATTAATTATATTAACTATTATATTAACAATTTCAGCTGGGTTAAATATGAAGTACGTGGAAACTGTTAATTCTGCTTTAATTTTATGTTCTGAAAATAAGTTTTAAGTACGACTGAACAAAGTTCTAACCGAAAGTTATTTTGCTGATTATCAACATAAACTACTGAGATTAAGATGAAATCCACTGCAAGTGTCCTTTTGGTGAAGAAACATTTAAATATGGCTCTTTGTTATATGTTGAATGAGAAGATCCAAGAAGTGAAAAGTGTTACTATTTTCATACCTTATGGTACATCGTATTCTGAGGTATGCTTTTTTGAGAAGACCCAGGATATAGAAATCATATTCTTAGTTACTAAATGCGTTGTAAATGTCATCAACATACGTGAACTATTTTGTCCTCTCATCCATTATCGGCTTCATATTTATCTACTCTAGGTCCTCTTTATGTGTATTATTCTATCATTTCCGATTACAGACATTCATTATCTTTATTTCCGTACAGTAATTTTATTCATAATTGGCAAATAGACACCACACAATTGCTAGGAATAATGTTTTCTCGCTATCTTTATGTGTCTTTATTGTATTCAGCCTAATAACATGTTAAGTGTTATCATTCCTTTATTTTTGATGAATATTTTATTTTTAAAGCTACAAAACTCTCAAATATTGATGTATTTCTTATACAAAGTGGTGAATCATTGGAAACCGATGAAATGTTAGCATCATTAAGACAAATAAATCACAGAACACCAAAACAGATTATGTGGAATTCAAAAGGCATTAAATTTTGTCAATCAACAGGTAATATTACAGCTGGTACTCGTGCTGCTACAATAGAATGTCCACAAGAAATGGATGCAAAGTGGTTAGCATTACGTAGAACAGATGAATTGGAAATTTGCCTTATCAGTGTTTATGTAAAGAAAGGTTGGTTAAAAATGATTTTGTGATTATTTTATTAGTAGTTATTCGAATTTTTTCATGTTGTTTGGTTAATGATTTGTAGCAAATATCATATTTATCTAGTCCTTAGTTCCTGATCAAACTCCATCTATCGAGTTACAGTGTGATCACTCAACTTACAAGATTTTAAACACTCAATCGCTGGTGAATGTCAGCTAGCATGAAACTTAGTTCCAGAGTTTGTTGTAGACCTCTTCCACTCATCTAGTATGTATCATCTTTCTCTTCAAATCGTTTTTGATCTCTTTCAATATACTAACCATTCTATTTTAAGTGGTAAAATGGCTGTAAAATAGGATTTTAATTTACCTTTATAATAAGTTACTATTTAAATATGTTAACACTCAAAATTTTAATGATAGATACTTAAGATCAAGAGCAGCTCTGACTTCATAAGACAGGCAGAACAACCTATACAATGACCCTATTCCGGTGTTAGCTACACCATAGGAGAGGGGTTAAAGAAGACCGAGCTTTACAACAAAGTACAAAACAGGGCAGCCTAAAAGAATACGGATCAACTGCATGACAATAATTGTTGTTGTAGTAACCTTATCATGCAGTAATGATAATAATATTGATTTGATTCGACCCTCAGGATATCTGGTTTACTTATTTACTTACTTACTTATGCCTGTTACCCTCCTGTAGAAACATGGGTCGTCCACCAGCTTATTGCATGAAAAATTTGCATATAAGGTGAATTTATTCAGGTTTAAAACACACCACTATGAAGCTAAAATTTACTACAGTATTGCGTCAAAGCTTTCAAATTTTCTAAAGGTGATATTTATTCTCTAAGATTTTACTTTTGATTTAATGACTGTAGTAAAATGCTAATTAAAATGCAGGAAAGACTTTCAAAATATATTTATTAGATTGTCCACTACAGTATTGACAAAATACTTTATGAAAGTAGAGTAGTGAACAAGAACACGGGTGAGGACAATCGAAAGTATTGGACACGAACGTTACAGACTATCTCATTAAAATCTGATAATCATACAGTAAACAGTTAATTAGCGAAATAGCAATCAATTGTCTCAATCTTGACTATTCCTTCTGTATATATCAGTTCATTTTCTCTGATTTCATTGTTCATACATTTTCATACCCATTGCATTTCGTTTCAGTTCTTTCCTTATCGATCTTCTGCTAAAATACATTCTATGCCTGACCATCATTATATACTACTTATGTGGATATAAGTAACCCACACCGCAGTATGAATTAAATTATGTTAAAACAGTTTTGTATTAATTTAAAAAAACTTTCGCCGAAATTTGATCAAAAATTTTCACAGTATGTAGACGCCGAGTTGATATGAGATATTGAAGGGAAAGAATATATCTGTAAAATCTTAACGACAGAATTTACATTCTTCCTCTTTAGTTGTGGATTATTATCAACAAGACAACATACTATGTTAACATGGTGAAATCTTTCATTTAAACTTTTCTAAAGCGTTAAGTATTTTGTAGTTCATCCATAAACGATGAAGCTCGAAATCTTGTATTCATTCTTTGATATTTATCATTCCTCGTAACATATATATTTCAATAAATGTTGAAGAAACTGTAAAATGTAATTGAAAATCATGTACTGTTACTAAAAGTTTTATGTATTTTATCTCATTTCAAAAGTAGTGATTTATGTAGACCATTTTATTTTATAGTTGGTAATGGGTATGAATTGAATCTAGTTGAGTTACCATGAGGAAAGGAACATCGTAAAGCCTAGTGGGCCCTTCTGGAGAAGAGTGCTACACCGAAGCACGGCACAGCTACTTGGGCGGGATACCTGTTTTCGCACTGCTTAAGCAGAACCATTACATAACACATTCGGCTTTTTTTATTATATTTTATTTTTAGGCAGACTCATTTTTTTACCATCCTTTTGAACCCACAATAGTCATGCAATGACTCTTTGTAGCATTTGTAATCTTTTGTGGGTATAGGTAGAGTGGTTGATTAGGCCGATCTCCATCACCCACATTACCACTCATGTTAGTACATGGGATGGTCGCCATGATACAGGAGGCAGGACTAGGATGTGTGAGTCGGATTTTGCCTCCCATATTAGGAAACAACGAGTATTATTCAATCGTTTCTTCTTAATATAGAATTCTTTAATAGTGTAAGCCTTTGATTTTAATTCATTTTCCTGTGGCATGTTAATATCTAACTGGATTGTATTAAATATATTGCACAAATATGTTATATCTCATATCAATCTACAAATTTTCTAAAACATAATTCATTGTTTTGAATTTTGAAGTCAACACAGATTTCTTTATAAAAGATGTGGTGCACAATTATCACAAAGCATTTAATACTAAACAATATACATTTAGACTTCTATTCAATAATTGGTCCGATGGTGAAGTGAACCAATAAAAGAGAGAATAGAGAATTGTGTTTCAATTGAATATGGATTTGAAATAACTAGCATATAACTGCTACTGAATCGATTCGAACAATCTTGAATATGAGATAATATATTTCGAACACTAAACACTTACAATTAGAAGTAAATTTTCTATGGGACAAATTAAAGTAGGTTCTGAAACCTAATAAATTGGTATAAATTCTGACAACCATAATTTAATGTTTTACGATACTTTAGCTTATGAAGAATGCTTCATACAGTATTCAACAGAAGAACAAAAAATATGGCCTATTTTATCAGGTCAACCATTTAGTTTTATACGTCATTTGTCAAAATCAGCCTGTCGTGCTGGATGTTCAATCAATAAAAATTGTCAAGCTATACGCTATAGAAAAATAAAACATACTGGAGTCTGTGAACAAATACGTGATGTTATACTTTCAGAAGGTCATACAGGTGTCATTCCAGATGAGAGGAATCCAGTTTTACATGATTCTTTACTAAATTGTGAATCAGAGAATTGTATGATTGAATTAAACAAATGTCACTTAGGTAAGTTGATGAATTTATGTTTATTATTGAACACGCATAAGTATAATTTCACAATGATAATTAAGTTCCTCTGTTGAATGTCTTCCCAACAAAAACTGTTTTACTAAAATCTTTTGATGTAAAATAAAATATATCTCCTATACTGGTGATGTTTTATTCTATCAAATTAAATATAGGTTTACTAGTTGAGTTCATGAGTCATTTGAAGCTAGACCACCATGGAAAACTTGGAAGCAGTGGATGGCCGTTTCGTCCTAGTGTGGGATTCCTCATTACTAAAGATCCACGATCCCGAGCACTCTTGAGGAGTACCACACTGGGAAGAAACGGCAGTCCAGTACTTCCAGGTTTTTCATGGTGGTCTAGCTTTAATCGACTCATGAACTCAACTATTAAATTACTATAATATCCACAAAACCTTTTTCTGATAATAAATATACGTTCAGTCACATTTTTTTCACCGAATATCACATTGAAAAAACTGATTCCATGTATATTTCTTTTTTTTCCTGGACACTTAGGTAGATTAGAAGAATTACATCAAGTTAGACAATCTGAAGAAAATGGCACCATAACTTCAGTCTCTCATTTGAACAATGAAACAAATAATTTACAAAGTGAGAATAGATTCTCATTATGGGAAGTTGCATCGAATCTACAAAAGACTAAGGCTGATAATTCAAATGAATCAAAATCTGAATTCTTATATTCTATTCAAATGGATGGTTATTTATATTGTAGTAAAGCTGTTTGTGGTAAGTGTTTGAATTAATCTAACATTAAAATACGTTATTTCTGTAATGAGTATTATATATGACGAAATATATTATTTTTTAGCTTGAATACATATAATAAATGATAATTTGAATTCCGCTCCTACCACCCATACTTGAAGAATTTAAAAGTATCACTAACCTTCAAGCCAGGGGTACAAAAGACTTCCTTTTAGTTGTATTTTATTGTATAAAGTGCTGGTAATATGTAGAATGATAGTGAAAGCTTTACAAATAAGCCATCTAGTTTATGGAACGTTCTTTGAGTAGTTTTTTTCTGCTTAGCGTTTTTTAGCGAGTTAGTTTTCTACGGGATGGGGTCGTTAACTCTATGCCCAACCCTCCTTCTTTATCTGAGCTTGGGACTGGCAGTAGCTCCCGGAGGGTGCTACAGGCGGAGGTAGCTTATGGAACATAATAAAACTAAATTTCATCCTCAAAAGTTGTCAATATACTCCATCGCATAAATCAGTACATGAAAAATAAATTATGATTGTGCTAAACAACATTTTTGTCTAGTCCTATTTTGTTTCAACGAGACCAATCTCAGTTTTTGCATTCTAATAATTGATTACAGAGCCCCATCATATTAAAAGACAAATATTTGAACGAAGAATATTCTTTTCGATAAATTCTCTTCAGGTTCTACAATTATATATCCAAATTAATAGTTCGATAAACGGTCAGGTTTAAGGTACAGTACATCGTTTACAGTGAAAGCATGTGAATTTAGAATTGTCAAACAAAACAGAATAAAATTGTTAGTGTTGATCTGACTCATATGGAATGAGTGTTAACTTGAATCAGCTTATATGTTAAGTGAGATTTTAGGATCCATGGTCCGAATAAATATAGGTCAAATGGGGTACTTTGCCCTTAATTTAGCCATTTATAGGATTAGTAATTTGGATATACAATCGTAGAACCTGAAGAGAATTTCTCGAAAAAAAATATTCTTCGTTCATACATTAGTCTTCTAATGATTGAGTTGGCTTTTTTGTTAAATTTCCTCAAGAATTTTGTATCAAAACTAATCCAGACATATTTCATGATTCTCACTTGTCAGGGTTTAAATCTTCTAATTGTTGTATTATGGACTGCAATTAGTCAATTTATTCTTTTTCGATTTTTAACATTAGCCACTATCAAAACTTTGCCTACAAAATGTTTGTGACCTAATGACATTATCAAGACAATTTTTTAGCATCAAAATATGCTAAAAGAGAAAATAATTAAAATTCAGTCTTTTACATGACCAACAGAAAGATTCAAATTCTTGAAAGCGGAATTAAGATTCAACTCATTGAATATCCCAGTGACTTTCTGTAATTTGTAGCTAAGTGGACAGAAAGGTACTGGGTTCCAGTCTGAATATGAACAACACTGGGGTGTAAATATATTAAGCTGATGAGTCGTGAACAGGCTGAAACTCACGTCCTGGATTCCAGTATTAACCACTATCAAAACATTACTTTAAAAATTCTATTATTTCACTTTGGGTGATTTTTTAGCAAAACATATACAGTGTATTTACAGCTTATTAAATTTATAGTCATCATAACCATTTCAGCTAAAATTATCAGTCAATGTTGAATAACACAAAAATGTTACTACGTAAGTTTGTTTAAATACACTTTCCTCCCCCGAAAAAACATAAAAATTCCTATCGAAAGCAATACACTTTAGATAGTTTTACAACAAGTAAGTTATAGGATAAATATTATGAGGGAAAAATATAGCTGGGGGATAGATTTGATTTCTTTTAAAGTCAGTATCTGGGATATTTTGAAACTACTTAACAAAAAAGCAACAGTACAAACAAAGAACCTAAATCGTCATAAGTATACTATTAATAATGGTTTGTAGTTTTTCACAGTTTATGTTTAGTACTGAAAATGATCAGCCCTTTTTGCCATATGAATTTCCTGAGTAAATTGGTTTGATATAGCATTATGTCCCAATTTGTATCAATTTGGCATGTGTCCATCATTAGAAAACAGGACGTGAGTTTCATCCAATATGGGATTGGTCAGGTGAACGTAACTGGACCTTAGTGTTATTGTTCACACTGTGAATGAAACTATCAGTGGTTAATGTAACCTTTAAAATCATTTAATAAATAAACTGTTGATCTCTATTCATTACAATCTAAAGTTTCATAAGTTATTCTAAATCCATAAATACTGTTTACTCATAACCATTTGATCGATATTGACTTTTGTAGAGTGATGAGAGTTCGTAAGAACCGACTAAAAAATCACTTCTTCCTCCAGTTTGTTTACCGGCTTTAGAAGCATTTTTATGTAGTGTGGACTTGTACCCTTAGTTTCATTTAATAGATAATGAGGTCTCACATAACAAACTGACATGATTATACAACAGCTACGAAGTCTAAGGGTCCGAAGTCCAGTCTTTCCTGAGGTTGTGGATAGGCACAACGGAAGAGTCCCATACTAGAATGAAATAACTGTATAGTACTTCTCGGCTTTCAGTGGTCGTTTGACCAGGGTCAGTCAATGATATGAAACTGAGCATTCAATAGCCCCCACAACACTATAATAGCAATTTAACGTAATGAGTGGTCGTCGGATTAATTTACACAAGAAAACAAAATACAGAACTAAACATAGGAGCATAAATTAGAATATCCGACAAACTTAGATATCAGACAAACTTAGAAAAGGAATCGAAATTCGTTATGTATATTTAACGAAATAGTAAACTTGTAAATATCAATTAAATATGACATTTCACACTGAGATTTCTTCAAATTAATCAAGTTTTACACTGTTTAATTTAATGGACATGTCATTCTTCATGCTGAATAATGGTTACTGTCATTTAAATTTGTTATTATGAATGAATATAATTCGATAAATTAGCATCAAATGTGTTGAGATTTCCCTTAAAACTATTCATATTGCTTACGAGTTTTCTTACTACGTTATTATTTGTCAAATGATCAAATGAATTTCGTAATAATGAACAGAAAAACTCTATCAGAAGGAGATTTGTGGAGATTTTAGTAATTTTATAGTTGAAATCATGAACCAATTGAAGCTAGACTACCATGGAAAACCTGAAAGCACTGAACGGTCGTTTCTTCCTATTGTGGGACTCCTCAGCAGTGCTCTCCCACGATCCCGCCTCGCGAGATTCGAACCCAGGACCTATCAGTCTCACTAGAAAAACTTCAGACAGTAAAAACTAGCTGATAGTTGAATGGACAAGGCAACATACAAGTTATCTGTGTCATTTAATTGCTTTGTGTTTTCTTTGTGCAGTGCATATTGTTGACACTAGTATAAGATCAGCAGATTGTAAAAGTTAAAATAACATACACAGAAGGTACATGTACTAGTTAGAATATTTTTATGATCATTGATCTTTGAAATCTCGTGACTTCAACACATAAAACGTTTAATTGTGCAACAACTATGTTCTATATTCTTTATATTATTTGATAAGCAGTAAGTTTAAGTATATATGCATTAGTATACTTCAAAAGAATATAGATGTCTATGAAAACTAATCTATTGACAAACAAACTAGGAAACAACTTATTAAAGGAAATCATATACTCAAATAATTTGATAAACAAAACAAAACAGCCTCCATTCATATAAACCCGTAACCACATATTTGGGTTAACACATGCATACATTTATTGATGTGAAATTATTACTATTTTAATAGCTTACTTTCTTAATCAATGAATAAACAATTGAGATTCCATATTAAGTCTTGAAGATTCAGTCACTTATTAACAAGACATGTTTCTCAATTTAAAGGACACCTATATTTGTTTCTCTGAAGTTCATATTCATGTTTTCTAACAATGAGATCAAATATTTGCAATGGTTACTGTTACCAAAACTTATGATCAATCTTTTAATTACTCTTGAGAGTATGGTCTCAATACTGACTTTCAGTCACAAGCTTTAGTATATCCGGATTGTGCCCAGAAATGGACTCTGAGATACTTAATTTGTCTTGTCTTGAACTTTTCAGTTTGGTGTACCTTCATCCAAGTCTTGATGCTCACAATAAAACTCCAACCTGTCACCTTAAACTACAATGTGCTAATAACCAAGCTATTAAGTTCAGACAGTTACTGACTTGTTCAATACGTAATATATCCCATTCTGAAAATTAACCCTAAGATCTACGTACATTCAGTTGTAAAGTTTCAAATAAAAAGAAATGTCAATCTTAGATTCAACTGTTAGCCATAATCCAAATAAAATCAAATAATTGAACACTAATCTAACCAAGTTGATCTTATTTTACATTATAGATCTGAAGTCTTAAGGAAATTGAAAACTTCAACAACTCAAAATGAATCAAACAATTACTGACTGATATAAGAACTGTCGTCTGAATTAGAGAGAATAATTTCACAGTATTTGGGCGCCGAGTTGATGTAAGACATTAAATAGGAATAATATATTTGTAAGATCTCAGCGAAGTGAATTTGAAGTAAATCCAACGTTTTGACTGAATTTTAATCACTTAGTATTGTTTGTTTGAATCTTCCCATTGATGTTTACAACTGCAACTGATCAGTAGCTGAGTGGATAACGCTATGGCGTTTGAAGCGAAAGGTACTAGATTCGAGTCCCAGAGTGAACATCAACTCTGAGATGCAGGTACATCCAGCTACCGAGTCCCAAATAGGGAGAAACGCGCGTCAAACTGGATTCTACTGCTAGCCACTATCCATCTTTTTTCTTACATTGAATTTTAATCATTTGAAACCGTTTTCTTATTCACTATCTACAAACTCTAATTATCCATTTCATTTCTTTTATTCTATTACGATTTGTTTCCTTTCATAAACAATAGATACATTGAAAATTTATTCAATGGATAAGAATAATGAGGCGATTCTTTGCGGTGAAATCGATTCACTTATTGTGTCACATTTAAATAAATATTATCTATTCTGTCAAAATAATTATCCAATGGATAAATTAAAGTTTATCCGTTTAGAGTGGAATAATATGGGTAGAGAGAAGGCGGGTTATTTATATGTGAATATTACACAAATGTTTGTTAGAATAACAAAAAATACAAAATTATTCAATGTGACTTTAAATTCGAATATTATTCCAATGACAACTGAATCAAATATGATTGGTACAAAGAATATGCAGTTTGTTACTGAACAACAGTCTAATCAACATTTTGTAGAGGTGAAAGAGTATGATAAAAATGAACAATATACAACTGAACAATATAAAGAACAATTCAACGAGTTGAAAAATGAAAAGGAAGAAGACGAAGTAAAAGAACAACACAATCTTCAAGAAACAGAACTACTTCAACAATACTATCAACATGAAAAAGGAGAATTAGATGAAAAAAGAAGAAGTGGAAAATCAGAAAACCTACATCATAAAGATCCGTATACGGATGAAGAAGAACAATATACTGAAATGGAAGAAGCTAGTATCCTTAATGAAGAAAATAGTCATTCAGCTAACTGGTTGAATACAAATACTGATTACACGGAAAATGAAGAAGATGAATATGATACGTCGACACTGGAATCATTTGATGATCAAACAGTAGAAGGCGACCTAACATGCAAGTTTTCCTAGTTTAATTACAATTTAGAAAAGATGTATATCAGGAACCGACGTTAACTAAAGAATTACTGAATATGAAGTGTAATTAGTACGTTTAGCGATATTTGGGGGTAGTCTGAATGAAACTCAGAACCTAAGTTCCATTCCAGCTGGGTTTGATCCTTAAGATGTATTCGTAGTGTTAAGGGTGGAATTCGAACCTAGGTCACCCAGCCTCGAAGTCTACAGCATTACCCTTGGACTTAAATATCAAAACTGATTAACCACTGGTTAGTGACCAATGTTACGCTCGTCTAATCCCTTATACTAATCGGATTCTATCAATCATCAAGCATATTTAGAACTATTTGGTTACTAATTGATTTTGCACATTTTATACATCCTATGCCCGGAAAGTTGTCCTTCAATTAGTTTGAAAACCGCTCATCACTAACAATTAATAAGCGTTTCCAAAAAAAAGGACATTGTGTACATTTGTCCTTTTATAATTCACATTCGAAATAGATTTATACTCTAGTTAAATAGATTGTTAAATAAACTAAACTAAAATTTAAAAAGAAGCTTCCAATTTGAATATGGCTAATGATAAAACAGTCGTCATGCTGATTAGCTTCAATTAGTAGTGACATAAAATTCAAATACTAATTTGATAAATATGTAATCGTTTCGCTTAATGCATAAGGAGATACAATTTCATCACTGATAAATCATTTTGATATATTTTTCTAATTGTCATACTGGATGCGATTACAGATTGGACTTGAAATAATCAGATACAGGACTTCATATATATCCAGATATGGATTTAGAAGCTCATCACCATTTACATTATTTTTATATTCGTTGTGCAATAAAACAGTTTAAAAAGCTGAATATCACATCTGCTTTAATTTCACACTTTATAACACTTCTGATTTGAATAGCTAGGTTATAACAATAAATGACGGTATCAATCTAATGATACATTTATTTTTGAAGTAGTCTTCACTATGAGATGAAATTAAATAGACCAATCAAATCGATCTGTAGCTGGTCAAGGATTGCAAACGAACTCATCGAACTATACGAAATATGACAGACTATCTTATATTGTAAATTAACTACAATTTTATTTCCCTTCCGATTGTACTTACTGTTTAATACTTGTCTCGTTAAGTTCATGTTCTGTTCTATACCTGGTTTTCGATCTAACGGTCAGACTACCGAGTGACTGTGTGTTTCATGCCATCAAGTATTGTGATAGATTGTTTAATGTTAGCAAGTGATCAATTCATTTTTTTCTCTGTTATACCAGAACTGTAGAAAACTATCTTAATAATATGTAACTAGATTTGAGAAAAAGTTCCTTAAATTATGCATTAATAATCCATGACCTGGTAGAACTTAACTATGCTGTTCGTTAGAAAGACAGCTAACCTACAGTACTAATCGGTAGTTACTCAATATTACAAATCTACTGAAGTTAAAAATATATACTAATGAATTATAGATTGGTACTCTAAAATGTCATATATGCAGTCAGTTAGGACGTTTCTTGGTTTGACTCCTAGACATTTTCTTGATGAACACTGCTGAAAAATCTCTAACTACGATGAAACAGTTATTTTTTATTCCATAAACAGTTTGGAGAGATTGTTTTACTTACAGAAAGTTCTTATCACGGAATAACATTAGCTGGAGAAATTGCTATTTAGAGTTTCCCAGTTTTTAAACGATCCTTTAGTTAATATTTGTATGTGACTAAATCCAATTTCAAATTGAGCAAACCCCACAAACCTCGTGATCTAATAGTGGCAGATCTACCTTTAAGGTATCCTCAATTAATCGATAATGAAATGAACACAATCTTTAAATCAAATTACAATATAAATATTTATCGACAGTAACATCCCTGTGTTTTTTTAAAATATTATTTTAGATGCAACAGAAAATGAGTCGAATATACAAATGACACACATTCATGATAAAAATAATATGCCGCCCAAACAAAATTACTTAACTGTAACAACCACCGAATCTTATGAAGTTGTAGAACATACTGAGACCATTGATAATGTCGTTACCGATTCATGGGCTCTTCAACCAGACTCACATAAAGACTTAGACAAAAATGTTAATAATTATCGGAACAAAAATATCACGTCAACAAAGCTAGGTGTACGTGAAGTGAGAAGAGAAAAAGACCATGACAATTTACAAATAACTGGACAGCACCATCGTAATTTAGAAAAGAAATCACTTCAAACAGCTCAAGTTCATAAGCCTCCGAAAAATAACTCCTCCTTATCATGTAGACATCAATTTATTCTGACTTTTGCAATTACATTTCTTATATTTCAAAAGATCTGGTGAATTTCGTCGAGTGAAATAGAGTGAAGTAACATTGTTTTGTAACAAAATTTGAGAATATCCATTGTATAACATTTTCAAATTGAAATGAGGTTATCTATATTTTTTTGTTTGGAAATAGGAACATAATGGTTTTATCAAAATATCACTTCATTATTCCATAGGGGAACTTTTCATATAACTTTCTTTATCAGGACTTGCCTTATTCTCTTCTAAACACAAGTCTATATTAATTATTTGACTTCAAAAGATAATGAACACGATCACGAGTTCAGTTGCACTTGATACAGCCTTTTGTTCTTTCAAATTTTTGACTGCAAAATACAGGGATTTAGGCCATTTTTATAAATGATGATTAACTATTTGTCGCTTACTTATCGGCTTTTTGTTTTATTATTAAGCGCGACCCTATGAAGGTCAGTTATTCCGAAAGTTTTTTCTCTTTTCATTATGCAAATTACCTAAAAGCTTAACTTAAATTTCCTTTAACATTATCGTTCTCTTTTTTAATATACACTAAAGTGATGAAAACAAAAAGTGTATTCACACCCATGAGTTTTCTAAAGAGACATGATGAATATCACATACCTGCGGATGGTTATAAATATAACGTCCCCAGCTCGCTTAATAAATTGGGAGCTATCGGTCTCATCGCCAGATATAAATAGTGTTGTTATGTTATTTAAACATTGAACACGAATTATCAAAAGACTTCAGAGTATTAGGAGTGTTTAAGGTTAAGTGGATAACAACCGCTCAGACATCTAGCAAGTGGTAGGAGATAATAAAAGCCAATCATTTTAAGCACTTCCATTTGTAAGTATTTACAATCTCAGTTGAAGACAGATTTTGGAATAATAACCTATAACATACTTGTTAGTGGAAACAAATCGGTTTTAATTAATTAGTTAACGAATAGCAAATGATAGAGATAATCTTTACGACTGTATATGAGGGAGGTGGTACGAGATATTTTATATTTTGTACACATAGTTTGGAATTCACTGCATATGTCGAAGTTTTATGTGCTTTTTAGGTCTCTAGATGCACATTTAGCGTACATTGTATGATTATAACTTCGCATTGATTTTGTTTCGTAAGCTGCTGCCAGTACACTGTCAGTATACTGTTTATAACTCAAAACAACTGTCTTAAAATGTTAAATAGAAAAACAAACTGTTTCGGTTTTAGAACGTGCATACTTTTAGTGCACTGAAAATCAAATACAGCAGAGTGATCCTGGACAAACGAATTTAAATGATTCTTCATTCAATTGATAAAGCATGAAATATTATAACTGCAAAAAAACAATCAGTTTCAAAAATATTTTTAGGGATTTCTTTTAATCCTCTGGATAAACAACTCTTGGACAACAAGATAGTGCTAGAACTAAGATTTAAATGCTTCGAGAAAAGAATGATAGTTTCTACTTTTATCGGACTGCATACTAGTAGATGATAGACGATTATATAATAATCTACATAATATCATATGCGATTATTTTGGGAATTCGCTCTGATAATCATGGAAGCTTATTCCTGATCAACTTCAATAAGTATTCGCAGATTAAACCTGAAAGTAGTTGCTTACAATGCAGACAGTACTTGCTTACCAAACAAAAGTACGCGTCACATTCTGTGCTTACTAGGATATCTCATATAGCACTCTCGTAGTCCTATTATTGTGATTGAGATAGTGCTTTGGTAGACTATAGTCTTTTAGACCTTTGATTAATACGAAGAAGTACTTAGGTTTTGAGGATTATCACTCAAATTCCAGCCTATGATGATGTTCAACCCACCTAATCACCAGACACAGTTAACACAAATAAGAGAATAACAAGAGAGATAGTGGAAAATAAGCAGGAAATTTTAACTGTTGTTATTTGAAGGTGTACTGCGAAATAAACAAACGAAAACAATTTACATAACTAAAAGAACAGTAGCACATGTAGTGTTAACAAAAAGATTACATTATCATTCTGGTTTTTCCCAAGTGCTTCTTCCAAATATAAAATATAGAATTTTCCATTAGACACCTTCGTATTTCTTAATACCATTTTCCAAGTTAATCTTTTCAGTTCATTCAGATACAACCACCTTCCACTTGATTAAATTTGTTCTACAGTCATAGTTCCAGAAAAGTAATAGTGTATTCGGTAACCTCAAAGGTGTTACATTTTTTCGAGATGATCTCGTTACTCATGGTTCTCATAAAGGGGCTCATTATCAGAAACTTATTGCTTTACTGCATCGTTTGTTTGGGAAGAATATTCCCTTAAGTCCCCTTAAGTGTTTGTTACGTGTATCTAATTTTGAATGTCTTGGATATTTAATTAACGATAAAGGTTTCAGATCACACATGACGCCACCAGTTCCATTTATAAACGCACTATCTCAGAAAAATCTTGCAGAACCCATTTAGATAGTTTGACTAGTCTGTGTTTTAGCTGATAACTGTCAGGGAGTCTGAATATGTCTCTCACTAAATTCTGTAGAAGTTCAAAAATATTTTATATAATCAAGTAATACATAAAAGTTTTTCAGAGACATTCGGAAAAATGAAATATCACGAGTCATTTTTTATTGGATAATTACATATACCGTTACCATGTTGGGTATGTTTCCAGAAAGTTATTAAAGACCTAAGACAATCTCTTACGAGCTGACTGACATGATTTTTTCTTGTAAAGCTAGTTTAATCTAATGTTCGTAAATTCCGTGTGAATTTTTAATCAGGAAACCAGCATCGTTAAATGACTTCGTAAATATATATTTGGAAAGAAACTCATTATTGTTGCAGATCATGAAACTCATTGAGTTCATTTATCATCCCATAAATTTCTGAGCACGTTACTCAGCTCCTATCATTCAATGATGAAGTATTGCCCTGAGTGCTTATTATCACACAGAAGTTCCAAGTAAATTCAAAATGTTAACTACATATCTCAACATTCATCACAAGAAAAGCCTGTTGATACTACAGACTGTTTATTAGCGCAATATTTACAAATAAATCGTTTTTGGTGAAGTTTTGTTCTTTGATCTGGATGGTTTGGTTGTGGAGTTTTTATCGTTATTCTGGACAGCATCATCACAAACTTCAGGTATAAGTAAAGTGTTTGAATCTCTCCATTTGTGGCTCACAGCTCGTCCTGTAGACCTCGATCTTGATTGGTTATTGTTGACCTTTAACCTGTCATTGTTTACTTCTTTATTCTGATTGCATCTCCAGTTGATTTGATTCTTGGTCCTACATTTGTTCATGGTTTTTCTGATTGGTTATTAGGTCGGTGTAAGATCTATTTTGAAGGTTTTGTGTGTGAAAATCCCTCCATGTATACATTTCCAACTTGTTATTATTGACTCCTTCAGTTATACATTTTGTTAGTGTTTTTGATTTCATTCCAGATGGTAATATTTTTGTTTCATAATAGTTTTTTTTATTTTTCTTTCTCCTTCACTGAGTTTCCATGTTTCTTCCTGAACAGCATTTATGTTATCTTACCTGATACTTTGTCTTGACTGCAGCCGTACTGATTTGTTCCTCCTTTGGTTGTGTTGCTTGCATTGACCGGAAGTGTGCATTTTTGATTGAATTGAAGAACTCTTTCGAAATTGGAAACACTGTGTTATAAAGCGACCAAATATTATCTTTCGAACAAATCTGATCTATCCAGAAAGGATAAAATAACATTTATTTGTTGCTAACGGTAATTTTCTTACATACTTTATCAACTCGTTTATTTGTTTTAATTTAGATTAGATTAATTGAACAATTATTGGTGGAATAACTGAGTGTTAATATTTGTTTAGGTAATGATGTACATTTATATTTATGATGAATATTAGAACCGTTATTTACCCAATCACCTTGTTTTGGTTTCAACTGGGCAAAGCGCGTATCTGAACTACCTAGACAGTAATTCTTCAGTCCAAATCTTAGTTTGGATCCTACAATTGGATCGATTTTAATGCGCTTGTTGATTGCTGATTGACCTAAGTGCCAACTTCTAGGAATTCTCTGGTATTTTTAAATTTTTCGCTGTCTAAGATCTCAATATTTTTTCGAGTTAAATGTGTGCCCACAGTTGTCCACCAACACAGACAAATGGTCCAAATCTCACTAGAGAAACTCATCGATATTTTAGATGTATGCTTGGTGCTATACTAAGGGGTTGAGAAGCTAATCCGAAAAGTAGATTTCTTGTTTATTTTTCCAAGTGGAATGAACCATCTACTACTTATCACAGTATTTTGTGTTTAAATGATCGCTCTGTTATTTCTTCTTCATTACGCAAATCCATCATTGCAAATTTCAGTTAAGAACATTTGGGGGTTTGAATAAATGAATTAATAAGCAAATCTCAAACGTCTGTGGGTAGGGATAAATTCAGGTAAATGTTGTATAGAAAAAGAACGAAAGGTGTCATAATTCAAAAAATCATCCTTTGAAATGGACTCTATGGTCAGTATTGATTGAGACCTGGCAGAGAATTCATGCAGACCACCGTGGTTAGTACCTCGGCAAATGCGGTGTATTTGTTGTTATTGCTTCTTTTTCTAAGTCGCTTGAATTGTTTTCACAACTTCTCAGGATTCCGACTCCACAATCCAAGCGTTGAGAAAAGTATTCAATCAGTAAGGAGTTGTTATGGTATTAATGACTGGTAATCTATTTAGTTTTGCTCCATATTTAATCATTACTTAAATGGTATGGGCGGAAAGCATCTGACTGCTTCTCTCAGACAACCTTGTCCTAATGGTTAGGGCGGAAACTTCTTCAGGATTTCGAAAACCGCTTTTGATTTTATTGCAGCCACAACGACTGGTGAACTAGAGAGAGGGGTGGACACTTTTCTGCCGCGGTACATAAGTACCGAACATCCTGTAGAGAATGAAATTCAATCAAAATCATTAAAAATGTATTCTCCGTTCGAATACGAAATGTTTAGAGTTTGCAGAATTTGTGTATTATTGTGGGAGTGATCCAGGACCGTTAACGGCGATTATGGTTAAAAGTCTTCTCGTTTCATTTCAAAATAACGCTGTAGATGAACTGGTTACATCTTTGAGTCGAATTATGGAAATAAACAGGATCTTCCACATCAAGGCTTGTTATGTTAAAGAAAAGCCTCATATGATACAAAATGAAATTACAGACCATTGGATGATTATCACTCTTTCTTCTTAACTCGTCAAAGAACCCTATCGTGAAATAGCTGTGCTCCTGAATCTTGAGAAACAGATAATCCTGTTGGTGTCGGTACTACAACACTTATGATAAGACTTCCAGGAATTGTGTGAAACTCCACAGTTTCCTCGATCTCATATCTCCCACCGCAACAAATTTTCTCTGAAACTCAACCGGCTGCACTCGTTAGCGGCAACGTAGTCAGTGGATATAGCTGTCTGTTAAACATCCCTGGTGCGATGATGGTGGTCTACTATCAGGTGAACACTTTAGCAGAAGGTAGCTTCCTTCTCGTTACTGTTGACGTTCTTCTGCAAACCACTATCTTCAGTTTACCGGTAGCAAACGGAAAACCGATAATCACTCGCGGTATAAAGTAGGTTTTCCTTTAAGAGGGATATATGCTGACCCATTTGCCTAAGTTTTGCAGTTGCAGACGTGTTAGTTCCAGTCATTGGTACAGAAATGATACAACATTATACTCTATCCGTCTAATAAAGCAAACGGAAGTTAGTAGATAGAAATACCTAGCTGTCTGTCAATATACCTTCATTTTCTTGGTTCCAGTTCGTACCCAGTTATAAATAAGAATGTAAGGTTCTTGCTTTCAAGCAGTATTCGATAAGTATCTCGAACTGTACGAGCCACAACTGAAATTACCGTGCGTTGTCAGCAATGTTGCACATCATGACTATGAGACAGCATGTATACTCAATCCCTTTAGCTGTACGTTACGTTGGTCCTAAAATTCTGAGACGGTTACTATCTCCTTCTCACCATAGTTATCCTTTTTCTTACATTCCTATTTAATTTCTAAGATTCTTGCAAAATACATCAACGCTGTTTTAGTGAGCATCTTGGTTGCGACTGTTGCCATACTGATTCGTCTCCCTTTTTGATTTTATTACTTGAACCGACTGAAATTGTTCATCTCTAATTGCGATTAAAAGCACACTGCCAGAAATGGAAAACTTATTTTTGCGACTAGTAATTAAGCTCTCAATCCTTTATACCCCTGTCATTAACATTTTTATGAACATGAATATTAAATCTTAGACAAACTGTTTCTTATCTATTCAGAAGGAATAAATTAGTACTCCTTTATCGATAAAAAACGTCCTTTCATCAAAACTGGTAATTACTTTAAATAATAAATCAATCTATCTACATAATGTAATCCATATTTGATCATTTAACTTTATTGAACAATTATTCATTCAGAAGTGGTTGCTAGATTCAAAAATGTGACTACTTCAGTGTGTCTGTTCCAGTATTAAAGTTTCAGTCACAATCTGTTGAGTTCGGTAGTTCAAAAGACGTCAATGGTCAGAAACGTTTTACAATAACCTGGAAAATCATTCGGAATGATTTATAAGATACGAGAGATATTATAAGAAAGAATGTAAGTATAAGTAAGTAGTGGTACCTGAATGGTATACCTGAAGAAATCAATCGTCACAATCTAAAAAATATTCTTATCAGTTAAGAAACAACAGTGGATAATAGCAAACAACTCTAAAATCAAAGAGGGACTGTGATTCACAATCCACCTAACGAAACAAAAGCTATCAGTTCACAAATATCAACGAAAGTATGGAGGTCCGATATGGTGAGCGCCATGAAAACAATATTTAGTAAAACTAAGATAAAACAGTTACTAAAAGACTTGACAACATTCGAGAAATACTCAGAATTTAGAATTTGTAGACGGCATAGTGATGATAACATAAATCAATTTCAAGAGTGGGAATGAATGTACGATATGCAGGCAACAATAAGAAAAACAGTACACACTTTAAAAATATAAAGAACTTGTCACAATAAAAACAAACATCGAGGGGCTTTCTCCACATTCGCACGTGAGCATACGAAAAATAGATCTTATGCTGCCACTCAACATTCTTCAATGTAATACACTGTCATGGCTCCTCTAGATTACTACTGGGTTTTAGTGGAGATTGCACGACTTACAGCAGTACGCCTCAAATCACCCCATCACCCAAGAATGTCATGAAATAGCCCAGCTCTTTTTTCATGGAGTAAAGCCTGCATGTATGCACGATTCAGGTTTTTTTGTCCTACCAAGTCAACAGAAAATGATAACTCTAGCTCAACAAATACTCAACAGCTTGTCGCCGTCACTACCGTAGAGTTACCATTCCATGTATATGGTTTTATCAATCACGACTCAGTTGAGTTATGTCTCGACAAAAATACCATGAGAAGAATTCAGTCCCCCTTGTCGATACTTTAATTAATTCACAATGATAATTGCTATTACCATAATTGGCACACAGCAGGACATCCCAAAGATATATAGAAATGTCATAGTTATTTCAGGCATTAACTTTTGACAGTTATTGACCGCACAACCATGATGTATCCACGATTGATTTGTACTACAAACAAAAATATCTGGGTCCATTTTCTGATTCCTTATTCGATCAATACCATCTGAACCTCCATAAAACTGAGTAGCATCACGATGTTTAGCTTTGGCTACATAAGGATGTGCATGTATGTTATCAAGAAAGCATGAAAACCGTTCTTTCCGATGACTACAAAACATATCCCTTCTGTAAACATTCAGAAACTTCATATCAGAACACAATTCTTCAACGTTTTCTGTCATACCATCGACCATCGAGGCAATTGCCCCCTAAGATATAACGTGGTGATCACTCTGCAATTCCAAGGACACACTACAGTCAAGCACCTCTTAGGTTTTACCGACGATTTGGGTCAAATCACGAATCTCTCATAAAATCACTAACACCCTAGCTGCTTGAAAATGCAACCTCCCCCCTGCGACAAAACGGACAAAGCATTTTTCATAGTGAAAGGCAATCTTGCCGATTCAACTATGCTAGGATACGTCGACACCACAATACTTATTAGAATATCCATAGACCCATCAATTAAGTACTCGGAAGACTCTTACAACGAAGAGGATACGAAACTTGGCAAACCTCGGGATTTTTGAGATAGTCACAATACTCTGAATTGAGGCATTACAATTTTGGTACGGAAATCTTAGCTACGCGTTGAGCCATGTGGCACGTTCAAAGCGCAATGAAAGGTCAATGAGTCGCAGCTCACCAACAACAGTCCTCCAACCTTCCCTCTTAACGTGGCTCCGGACACGAACTCCTCTCGAGAGTCCCGACACTTGGACAGCATCTCGCCTTTTACTCCAGATATACATGTTCCCAGAGGTAACACTATAGTTCAGAACACACCATCTCATACAACTTCTTTCAAAGTTTTCTAAGGAATAGGCCTTTTTAAGCTCTCCCGGCTTCGAAAAGAAGACATCAATCTTCAGTATAAGTTATGCTTGATAATCACAAAACTACGAATCAGGTCGATTGGAACTGATAGAAAAGCTGATTACTTGGCTGAGACCATGAACCGCTGTTGGAATCTGAAATTTTTAGCCATCTTACTGTACTCCTCAGAATCATGCGACCGTCTACTACTCATAAACTGACGGTTTCGCAGATCTACTTCACCGAAAGTTGAAGTTCTCACTCTCGGCAACAAAAAGGCTAACGCCTTTTTACTGACGTTCCTCGAAATTCACAGTGTAAAAGTATATTTCGACATGCACTTATAGTTTTATTACTTTCTCCTCCAGAACGACTGGGAAAGACAGAAAACAGAAGATAAACATGATGATTTGGAAGAGTAGATCTGAGCTAATTACAAACACTAGATAAACTATGGCAGGTTTTATTTCTGCTTCAGGTAGTTGCTGCTCATTTGTAAAAATTAAACCGTGTAAACAGCCATTTTGCTGATAAGTACACATGCAAACACAAACAGTGGAATTTTATCGTAATCTCGCATAACAGACCCATACACCATATTGCATACGGAGATCAGTTTATTGGAAACAAAATTTGCCGTCAGTGTAAGTAAACTGACTACAGGCGTACTGAGAAATGAAGTTGTTAGCTACAGTTGCTTTCGATAGTTTTCACTTTGCTTCATTACATTTATATACATTACAACAGTGCTTCCATGTAATGACATGTCGATAAACCTAAAACGAGATAAAAAAAAGTGTGAATGACTGAGATAGAAGGAAAATGTAAGGTATCACAAACATTTTTTTACCTAACCCAAGCTTTTTACATTACTGAATGTTAATCATCGTTTATTCAACTACACAATCGCATGGGTGGATAACGGAAATAAGTTCTACAATATGGGCTGTAGGACGCAAAAATATGTTAGAGTGCATCATCTTACGAACCACTCAAGTACTTGGCGTTATTGCAACTTTCATAACGAGTATCTAGCATCATCATTTACCTACTAATCCAGGCTATGGCTAAACTTTGTATATTTGACCAATGATTGACTATATTGGTGAATGATTTGACTTGTGGGGAGTAGTGTAACGTCGTGTACTATATTACACCTACATAGCTTATTCTAGTTTCTGGACAAGCCAATTCACCTATAACGTTATGAGTCATATTTTGATCATATTAATTATTCCCTTATTGACCTTGACTATTTTTTTTTTGAAGCGGCAACTACATTTTTATTGATAACTAACATGGGCTAGAAGGCAGTAAGCACATTAGCAAATGTAAGCGAGCGAAGGAAAGATGACGCATAGTGGAGATGGCTGGGAAGCCAACTCGTTATAAGCAAGCATTAATCAGCATTTATAGTCAGGCTAAAATGAATGACAGACATGTGATAGGTAGGATAAGAAGTGTGCATACACATACGCTCATATAAAAAAAATAGTCAAGGTCAATGAGGGAATAATTAATATGATCAAAATATGACTCATAACGTTATAGGTGAATTGGCTTGTCCAGAAACTAGAATAAGCTATGTAGGTGTAATATAGTACACGACGTTACACTACTCCCCACAGACTTAATATGCATGCACCATAGAATCAAATTGGTAAAATACACCTTCAAAACTCTTAAACAACCTTAAAAACAGGAAAAGGGCATACAAATCACTTTGCCGAACTTTAGTCTACGGCTAACTAATCCGACATAGCAGGATTTAGCTCCCTGCATGTCATGTAACACAGCAGAACAATATGATATTAAAAAGTACCAAATAATGCAACTTTGCTGTCTAAACTAAAAACTATATTGAAAAGAATTCCATCAAGTGCTGTATCTAGCCACTAGGCGAACAGAAAAAATTTACTGTGTGATACACTATGATTGTATGGTATGAAATTTACCCTACTCTACTTTTGCGTGAAGCTCTCACATTTACTTATTATAAGATTAGGGACGCATCCAAAACATCTTTACGTAAGGTTGGACGGAAAACAAAGGGTTAGGGATTGTGAAAATAGTCCTCAAACGTTGTTCTCGTATATCAAGGGATGAACTCGGAGAAGTGATGGGACCCCGCCTCTCTTGAAATATGACATCCGTTGATAATAACATGAAATAATGTGCTAAAAGCTGGTTTTATTGGTATATTTTAGTAGTGTTTGTTAGTGATGATGGTGAAAGGCCTCTCCAGTGATAAGAGGCAGTGGGTATGAGCAGAGAAAACCTTATCAACATGGGAACCCTCAAGGTGTAAACCTTTAACATCTTCGTTTTTACTTTATGTAAATGACCGACCAGCTGTTGTCAAGTCACCTGTTCTTCTTTTTTTCGATGACACCAAGATTTGGAGACCTATACACTGTATGTCAGATAAGATGGTATTGCGAGATGACCAAAGTCAACTGGTTGAATGGAATTATAGGGGGTCAGCAGAAGTTAATTCTAGCATGTGTAGTGGTGTAAATAAATATCTGCGACGATTCATATAGTTGCACAACTATTGAAATCGTGTAATCTAAATTAATGGATCATGAAGATCTAGAAGCCATAGTAAGTAACGACCTCAGGGCCATATGTAACTGTAGAGTTACACTTCAGGGTCTGATGGTTTATTCTTAAGTCATCTCATTTCTTGGATGAATTAATGTTTAGGATATTATACCTGAATTTTGTGAGGTCGCATTCGAAATATGAGATTCAAGCAACGATTCCCTGTTTCAGGTATGAAGCGTATATGCTGTAACCAGTTTGATGGTGAGGAGTTTCAGTGTCTTATCTGAAAAAGGAAAATTGAGGTGACTCAACCTAATTCCGTCAACGTATCGCACATTACGAGTTGATTTAATATTGACTTACTGTATACTAAAAGATGATCCGCTTATAATATTCCTATCTTTTCCTTACATCTAGGGCTGATCACCTAAGAGACGTCCTAGGAAATTTCAAGAACCTAGATACAATTGTTTGAGTCCGGAGTTTCATTTATGCGATTCTTTGCGAGAACATGTAATATCATCACCTTATGTTAGCACATTCAAAGCAAGATAGGATCTTCATAGTACTTTGAATTTCAAGGGTTAATATAGGTCAATTGGCCTTTTATTCTTAACATTGGAGACTACCATTAACTCAATGAAACCATTTAACGGAATTGTTGACCTTGTTGCAGATCGCGGTTGTTGTGGTAATTATGATCATCATGTTTTGGAACTCTTTGTGGTATATTTCTCTGATGTGTAATACTGTTTGTCAACTAAACTAAGACCGTACGAAGACAATGCCGTATTTCTTACTAGTTTCATTAATAGTTCCAGCTATGTCATGTTCACTTGTTTCTAAATTTCGATTTTATACTTGATTACCTCAAACTTTGTGATTTACAATGATGGTTACGTAGATATCACTGTCAAAATATATACTTTATTTCAGGAGAAAAGGTACAGAGGGACCAGCTCTTTGACGTACCTTCTTTGAAATCTAACTAATACTATTCACCCGACCACACTTAACCGGAATTGAGTCTGAAAAGTTGACTTCTCATGTCTGGAGGCTCGTCAACTATTCTTTTTGTCTTGTAAATATATCTATAACAGGTTCACGGTCAGAATAGGGGTTTTCAGAATGGTCGTAAAGATTCGTCAGCGCAAGTTATTGCTCACATTGTCCTTCTCTTTATCATACCGCTTTTTTACTTTGTCTCATGGTTCAAATGGTTGAGGACGGAATAGAAGAAGCTTTCGCTTAACGGGCTTCCGTGTCTGGTAGCAGTGGATCACCAATACCTCCAGGCAAGAACCTAGGTATATGAACGATAATAGAGGGGAAAAAAAGTCTCATGTCGTAAGAGTAACCGTGTGTTGTGATGTCGTTAACTTTTGTAAGTTCTTTTCCGCTGTTGCTAAACGGTAAGAATTCGCATTCGACTGCACCTAGCCAGTCTTACTTATACTGTCGTAAAATGTGAACTTGCGAGGACTACTTTTCGTGCCAGTCCCTGTGTTGATCCAAAGACCAGCTCCGTCTTCATGACGTAAGATAAAATGTTTTGCAGATGCTTTTGAATTGTTATCCATGAGCCACCAAGCTCTCCAGATCCATTATCAAATGTAAGCGTTTTCTATGTAAACATCAAACTTACATTCATAGGTACGGTAGTTTCATAATTTTTTTGGGAATCTATAAGACGAAAGACAATTTCAAACCTGACTTACTCATTCACAATCTTTCGACTAAGATGCGTTGATTTATTAAGGGACGCTAATAAGTCTACCTTGAGTGAGCGTTTTTATAGAAATACTAGGCTTACTTTGCAACTGGGGAAATTGGTGTTTCTAGCAGTCTGAACTTCATATATTCATCGCGATTGCATCGTTTGGGTTTTTGCGACATCAACAAAATGACACAAGCACTTAGACTTGCGCCCTACTGCATCTCTGTAAAAAGTTAACAGTAGTGATACTTACCACTTTTGTTTTTTCTGTCTTTGGTAGTGATGTGTTTCCATCATGCAAATTAGTGGTCTTTTGTCCAACTAAATTCTTAAATGAACGTACCAAGCTATACGCAGTAAAAAACCATTTATAAGAAAGTTAATGTGTTTGTAGCTAACCGAAATATACCAAAACGACACACTTGATAATTGACTAACTCTCATCCTTACTCATGTTTTTTTTTATTGGTTCGATGTCACCTGAGTTACCCGGATACGTCCACAGTCGGACTTAGTTCAACTATATACTTCTGATTCCTGATCTTATTCATTTGTGATGAACTCTCGTTTTTCGTTACTTTTGATCTTGTCTTTCTCATTTCTCCCTCTCTGTTAATTTCTTGTTGGTTTTGGAGTGACATGGTAACTTGAAGCGATTTATATTGGTGCCACGTTTATGTCTGTCTGTAAAAGTAGCAATCTTATACCAAGGATTTAGCAACGTCTTATGTCTGCGAACAGCAATATAATAAATTCAGTCTTAGATCAGCTTCAGTCATATATATATTGCTGAAATTTAAGCGACGAAAAAACTGTAACCGACATGAAAAAGGTTAAGCTATGGATGACAGCTACATTTCTAACCGGTAAAACTCAAATACTTTCCATGAAATCACAAACAGTGGAATTGTACACACTGTAGCCACATTTGTTATGGACTATTACTCACATACTGACAACGAAAAAAGCATTATAATCCTGGGAAAATTAGAAGTCCGTACAGTTTAAGACAAAGCTTCCTGAAACTGGCTACTCATACGTAAAGATAGACAGTATGGATCTCTTGAAAAGTGACAGAACTTCTAGTTCAATACCCGATGTTCACCTATTGATATTTACCTGGATATGTAAAGTCAATAGACTTAGCGAATTAATTGAATTAGTCTGATGTGCCTTCTTTTTGGGACCTTTGATAAAATTAAAGATAGTTAATTAGTTCTGTCGTTATTTAACGTCAGACCTAATGTTCAGAGATCAAATTTATCCTAGTATTGTAGAAACTATCACTCTCAAATGGTATTTACATGCGTATTAAATGACTATCTCGCTTTATTGCATTTTCGCCTTTTCATTGTTTTTTTCCATACAGTTTTTATGATAAATAACAGTAAGTTCTCAATTTTGGTTAAAAATGGTGTTTTAATGAGTTGTTTACAAGCTTTTTATTGTTTTATGGTTTACTTAGATCGACACAATGGATGACTCAGAAACCTACAAATTGTGGCGGATTCGTAAAACCATTCTCAAGGTAATTTTACCGGTCAGACGTTCTGATCAATCTTCATTTAGATGTGCAAAGACAGAGGTTATCTAGTAATGCCTAAAGAATTAGAGCAATCACTCGAAGATTTCAAAGCAACAGTCGGAGATCCACCAACCAGAAAAGATCTTCTCATGGTTGTTAACCATGAAGAAGATCCTGCTGACATGTTATATGTATTCTTTCCAGAGGAAGAAAAAGTTAACATGAAAACTGTGCGGGCATATTTAAATCAAATGCAACAAGACAGTACTTACAGAGCGATTTTGGTCCTTCAAGAAAAGGGTCTCACACCTTCTGCGAAAACAGTTTGTTCTCTATTCCACTAAGTTTATTTATACATATGTAGGCTATTGCGGAACTTTCGTGTAAATACACTTTGGAGTGTTTCTTTGAAAATGAGCTAATGGTCAATATAACGGAACATCAGTTGGTTCCGCAGCACAACGTTCTCACACAGGAAGAAAAGAAAGAATTACTCGAACGATAGTAACTTAATTCTTTTTATAATTTAATAAAAACTTAGTAGGTTAAAGGAAAATCAACTTCCTAAAATGCAAGCTAGCGATCCTGTTGCTCGATATTATGGTCTAAGAAGAGGTCAAGTTGTACGAATTACTCGGCCATCAGAAACAGCCGGACGATATATCACTTACAGGATAGTTTTGTGAATAAAATGGTGTACAGATTCTGGATTTTTGATATTGTATTTTGGGTCTAAAGTTAGATATATTGGACTGGTCCAAATTTATTAATTCATTTCTGCTTTTATTATTGCTGCTACCTTGACGTGGTGGTCGGGCTTGCCCATCGTGATGAACCAATCGAGCTATACTGGCTGGAAAAATCGTTCCTTAAAGTCCCACCATGCCAGACAGGTCGGTTGAAGAGCGGTAAGACTAAAAGCAGTAAACTCAAGGTCCGAAGGCGAAGTCGTACTGCTGACTGTACAGAGGTGTGATGGCAGTAAGATGTTTTCTTGAGACAACCAGCATAACAGCGGTGCTGCCCTCAAGGAGGGGTGGGGTTAGAAAAGGTCGGCCCTAAAAATGCACACCTCGCCTTATCCCAGGGATTTCTGTCTCCGGCGGTAAGGCCCTTTGAAGAACGGAGCTAACACGTCAAAAATCCCTCACAAAAAGGTCATGCGTGACCGACCTCAAGCAGTTGTCCCTTGGACTCTGAGGTCACACTCCCAGGTCGTTAAGAGCAACATTAATCCAACTTCCTTTACACGTCCCTCAAGAAATAGCCTTCCACGATGTGGGTAGCCAGGAAGTGATATTAGCCTTCATGCCCGTAACAGCATGCGAGACCAAGTTGGTCACATTCAAATCCTTCCTATACTTAATAACTCTCTTATCTTCATGACTAACCCTTCTTACTTCCTTTTATCACCTCGCACCGCTAGGGCAAACGATTTGAGTACACGGAACGTTATTCCTGGTCTCCTGAAACCACGCTCTAAACTACATGTAGGGACGTTTGACGTCCAAACATTGTGGACAACAGGCCTCCTTAGCTAGGACTTTAGAATCTCGCACCATCGATGTGTGCTGCGTCTCCGAAACGCGCATACAGTATCCGAGTAGCGTCATTCATATGACCTCACCATGTCATAATAAAGAACCAACTTGATTCACACTTCTTGTATCTGGAAGCCCTGATGCTGCATCCCGTGGCCTCGCTGGAGTAGGTATAGCATTGAGTCCTAGGGCAGAACTAGCTCTTTCAGACTGGATCCCAATAGACAGTCGTTTGTGCACTGTCCGACTAAACAGAACAGTAAGGACTCGGAAAGATAGGGACACTTGTCGTTACCTCTTCGTCATCTCTGCCTACTGACTGCAGCTCAGACAATGCAAAAGATGAGTTTTATAGATAGCTTTTTGACCTTCTCCGAAAAGCTAGGCGCTCTGATGTAGTAATAGTGACTGGTGACTTTAATTCTCAAGTAGGTAAACTAAGTGAAAGAGAAAGACACCTGGGTGGATCTTATGGTGTGATGGCTCAAAGAATAGATAATGGCGACCGCCTGTTGCAGCTATGTTCAGATAATCGCCTGTTTCTTGCAAGTACTAACTTAAAACACAAGGAAAAACATCTGACATGGCGACCCCCGAATTCGTCCCAACGTTGGACGCAATTAGATCACATCGCTATCAGCCACCGATGGAGGGGCTCGATAGAAGACTGTCGCTCATTCTGGAGCACATGCTTAGATTCAGACCATGCTGTAGTGCGAGCGCGTATTTGTCTGCGTCTTAGTGAACGTAGGAAAGACACTGCAAGGAAGCCTCTTAAGGTTGTTCTTAATGATAGGCAAGCTAAAAATATATTTCAGGAACAATCGACCTGAATGGCAAGTTAATGTAAATCCTCCAACTCTTTACGATGTTGAGAAAGCTATATGAAATCTGAAGCGTGGGATAGCAGAAGGCCCTGACAGGCTTACCCCCGGGATTTTTAAGGATGGCGGTCCAGTACTAGAGGCGAAATTGACTGAGACCTTAGGTAGAATATGGGGACTGAACGTAATTCCATCTGACTGGTTTCAATCACTGATTGTGCGAGTGCCAGTCTATAAGAAATGACAATCAGAGAGGAATCAGTTTGACTAATGTAGTGTCTAAAATATTAACTCCAATAATACTTGGTCGCCTAACCAAAGCTCGTGAAGAGCAGACTAGAGAGAACGAGACTGGTTTTCGACCTGGACGTGGTTGCATAGACCAGATATTCACTCTACGTCAGGTCATAGAACATAGACACACATTCAGATGTCTCACAGCCGTAGTATTTCTCTACCTTAAGGCGGCATCTGACGCCGTTGATCGTGAGGTTCTATTGCAGTATTTGTCACTGAAAGGAGCACCAAAGAAGTACATTAACCTCATAAAGGCTCTCTACTCGAACACAACTGGTCGAATTAGGGCTTGTGACAAACTGTCATCAGAATTGATTACTTCAAGTGGTGTTCGTCAGGGCTGTCCACTCTCTCCATTCTTGTTTAACTTTGTCGTTGACATGCTTTTAGAGATAACACTTTCATCATCTAAATCTCCAGGAGTTGAACTTCTACCAGGAGACTCACTTGTTGACTTAGAATATACCGATGACATAGTTCTATTTGGTGAAGACGCTGACAAAATGCAGAGTCTTCTGACCACTATAAGCAACTATGCAGGCATGTTTGGGATGCGATTCTATTCCTCAAAGTGCAAAATGTTACTTCAGGATTTGGTTGCATCGACACCTGAACTAATGATAGGGAGTGAAGTAGTTGAGCGTGTTGACAGCTTCACTTATCTTGGGAGTCTCATCAGCCCTTGTGGTCTGGTGTTTGACGAGATCTCAGCACGGATACAAAAGGCTCGTCTAGCTTTCGCCAACTTGCTTCATTGATGACATAGGCGAGATATCCGTCTAGCAAACAAAGGACGGGTTTACTGCTCAGCAGTTCGTTCCGTCCTACTTTATGGCAGTGAAACATGGTCGATAAGAGTAGAGGATATTCGTAGGTGTCTTCGAAGCATTGCTCGTATATCCTGGGACCACCGAGTAAGTAATGCAGTTGTTAGGAAACGGGTACTAGGTAAGGATGGAAAATCGATTGATGAAGTAGTGAAACTTCATCAGTTGAGAAGGCTGGGATACGTGTTACGTATGCCCAACCACCGACTGCCTCGAGGTGCAATGTTTTATGGTGTAGGAGTAGGTTGGGAGAAAGCTAGGGACGGCCAGACCAAAACGTGGTACAAATGCATAGAGTTAGTGACAAGTGGACTGAGTCATGCTGGTAGGTGTAGACTACCTGGTTGAGATCCGCGAGATGATAGCAACCGATGATTAGTGACCTTGAATGACATGGCTCAATCGTTTGAAATGGCGAAATTGCATCTACTCTTTGTGTCCTGCCAAATTATAATCTGAATTATTCATGTCTTTATCTTTTTTCTCTTACCAAATTTATTCCACTGGATTATACTCATTGAATAACATCTTCAAACCCTAATCTTTCGGATTACTGTTTATACTCTTACTACTTCTACCACTATGGGATTTGAGCCGACAACTGCATCTCTGTGTTAATGTGGTATGGCAACTCGAACTGATGTACGTACGTACGAAGTTCTACGTTGTGACTGACTGATATTAAACAAATAATCATGGTTTAAATGATCGTCAAAGTCTGAAAGAATTTATGTTATACTGTTAAAGTTTTTAAAACTGATCCAACTACAGATGTCACATACTGAACCTGAAAGAACCTTTCAAGTAGTTTGTACGATATTAAATAACTCTAACAATTCACTGTACAAGTTGTGTTATGGCGGACAAAATTGAATAATCATGCGACGTTTTTATATAATTTCCGTTCTCCTTGATTATTCGTTTGTTAACTGACAATTTACTCATAATCATGCTATCTTAGTGGGATATTTTGTGTACAGCTAATAACTGTAATATCTTAGTATATATATTCACATATTGCTCGAGCCATAGTAGTTTATTCTGCAGATGTATCTATAGGGTTGTTGTTCGAGGTCCCGTCTTGTCAGCAAAGTGTCAACTATGTTATTTCATTTCCGTATTTAACTAAACCTACTTGGACAATGACTTAGTGTACTACATGTTTTCGGTGATGTTTACAAGTTTTAGGAAATCGGCATGAAATCCGCGACCCCTAGGTTCCATACACGTTGGCTCTCTTCTGAACACTAGTATCAGGATAAATATACTTTAAGCTTTTTTTACCTTCAAAGTATTAGTCTTAAAATCACAAATGGGAATTCTGGGTAAAAAGTTCATTCAGCACTATTGATCGATTGGCTTGATCGTCCAATGTTTGATCAAACAAAATGTTTTGTTCTATTAACTGCCAAAGACGTACGGATGTAAACAAGAATCTGATTAACTAAAACCATATATCTCTTATTAGGCTGTGCCAAGCTAACCATAATGCGTTTCATACTCGAATGTATATGAAACGACATATATGTGAAGAACGGTTACCGGGTAGAGATTTACTTACCAATGAAAGTGAGACCATTCTGTCTCGATATATGGAGTTCTATTGATAGTACATAATATACTAATCAAACAGTGACATCACGTGCTTCATATAATAATGAGAAAAAATTGTAAGATAAGATAAGGAAAATATCATCAATGCACACATGTGTTTCTGTGTATATACATAAGAGAAACCGATACACTAATAAGATGTAGCAATGGAAGAACAAAAAGTTCTAGACAGAACAGAATCAGGAACGCAAGTTACGTCCTGTTCATGAGTGGTCATTCGAATGTAACCTCATCTTAATGTCTGATGCTGACGAGCCAAAATATAGGATGAAACGTGCATCCTCGATTCGTGTAACGCTACTAAAAATGTATCAAGACAGTAAATAATCAATTGGGCTCCTGGACGCCAACGGCGGCAAACTCTTATTAATAGGACATGACTTTACTGATCAAATAACAATATATGAAATTCTTCGATGATTGTTGTGTTTGGATCGAAAAATTTAAGAAATGCATCTATTGAGATGTATATACAGACAACTGATAAATCTTGGTAAATAAGATAAAATGAATATCTGGAACCACAGCAAGAAGTTTAGTATTACTAAATATATAGACTTCAAAGTAAACACAGAATGGTATAAGTCGAATTTCACTATTTTATCATATGGTTGGTTTTAAAACAATGAATATCTAGAACGATTATTCGTTTTGTAAGATCCCTTCCTCAACACTTGAACCACAGTTTCATGCTGGTTGCGATTCATCAAAATGAGATATACTTTCAGTATAGAGAGTGGACTGATGCTTCATGTGAGATTCGAGCCCGTTTAAACCAGTGCGCTATAACCAGAGAGGTTACCACTCA